GTGTGTGTACTTAACCTGATTTACTAACCTAATTGTACTGTGACTTTAGGAGAGGAGTAAAGATTAATTAGAATGTTTTAAAATCTATTTTCTTTGTTATTGGATACACCGGAAGGAATAAGTTTAAGGATGTTTTTACTTGGACTGTAATTTGCTGGTCTGGTCTGGTCTGATCTGGTCTGGTCTGAACTGGTCTGGTCTGGTCTGGTAAGGTCTGGTTTCTTTGTATTTTTATAACTATCCAAGTCTGGTCTGGTCTGGTCTAGTCTGGTCTGAGCTGGTCTGGTCTGGTCTGGACTGATCTGGTCTGGTCTGGTCTGGGACAAATTACAGTCCAAGTAAAAACATCCTAAGTCTATCATATACGAAGTACCCTAGTATTTAATTATTCAATCTCTCGGAAGATTAACTTCAATGTTATAAATTATTTATTTGTCATCGATGAATGTTGATAAATTCAAACCCGTATAAGGATCTAATCTCACAAACATGATAAATTTCATAGAATCAAACAATAAGAACACTAACTGGTTGAGGAGAAATCAAACGAAGATGATGAAGCCATGATGTCGTTGGATTCTCTAAAGATACAAGCGGATTTCGATGGATTAAACGATCTTCCTTGGGTCTCCTAATATAGGTGTTCTTGAGCCCTTTGGGGAGAAACTCGTTCGGCCATTTTAGTCGTAAGAATGAAGCACGACTGTTTTATCTTGTATCAAAGAGAAACCCTTTTGGTCTCTTATGTATTATTTAATGTTAAAACATACCCATCATATGTTAATTATACATAAATACAAGGACCAAATCTGTCATATGACAAACTTAATGGTAAGACATAAATGTCCCCAATATATACGGAGTATTAAATTATATAAATGGTCCAAGGTCATGAATATTTTCCAACAATGAATTCTAATTAGGGAGTACGTATCATTTAGAGAACAAAGTTGCATTCGATCAATGATGTGGATATTTCAACAAACCCTCATGGAAAGGAATACATTAATTGCGAGTTCATTTGTAACCTCACAAATTGGAATGTTATACGTAGTACTAAGCATATGGTATTTGTGCTGTATTTGTGCTGTAAAAAAAAAAAAGGTATTTGTGCTGTATTGTATGTTTGCCATCGATCTTATCGCGATCAATTATATGTAAGTTGATATACATATACATATAATAATATAGTATACTCCCTATTCTTCTTTAAATGCAATATTTAACATTTTCAACTATTCACATGTTCTACTTTGATTCTATTTTATTGAATTGAAGCGCATTATCAAATTGGAGCGTTTAACAAGAGAAACCAAATCGAAAATACAAACCGCTCAAAATACTGTTCAAAATTAATTATTTAATTAGTGCAATTTTAACACCTTTTTCCAAGATGTATAAAAGTAAAAATTCTTGACAAAAATGCACACAATACTTAGCGTACACGGGAAAGGTTTTAATTACTATGATCGACCGGCGTAGATAGAGAAGATTTGTCAAATACGGAGTATATATCAAGGTGGAGGTCCAATACGATGTAGACGCTGAGATAGGCCATGACAACTAATTAAAACTTAAAACTTAAAGCACCTCGGATATTAGCCTGAAGATCTTAGATTTTCTATCGAGATTTTGTTTGTCATATTATACTTGATAATTACTACATACGTAGTATATATTAATTCATGTACATTTGTTATAGGGACCTTTTTTATATGGTCCATTTGGAAAACTATCATGCATTTCGTGATTTCGATCATCTGTTGCATTAATGTTATGTACAAATTTAAAGTCCAGCCGTCTCCATTACATGGTGGTGCATCAGTGTGCATGGAGATCCAAATCGTTTCCTTCAACCCCACACATTATAAACATAGAACTAGGGGTGGACTCGGGCCGGGCCAACCGGCCCGGAACCGGACCGGCCCGCTACTGTGCGGGCCCGGACCGGCCCGGCCAACCGGTTGGTGCACCGGTTTGGGCCACCCGGCCCGGTGGGATGGCGGTTCGGGCTCGGGCCCTGATTTTGGTGAACCGGCCCGGCCGGTTCGGGCCCGGTCCGGGCCGGATTTTAATTTTTTTTTTTTTGAAATTTTTTTAAGTTTTGGGTTGGATTAGGTATTTTGGGCCATTTGAGGTGGTTTGGGGTGGTTTGGGGTTGAGGGGTAGGGGGTTAAAAAGGAGAACCCAAAAAAAAAAATAGACCGGTTGGCCCGGCCCGGCCCGGTTTGGCCCGGAACCGGAACCGGAACCGCCCACCGGCGGTTCGGGCCCGGGCCCTAGTTTTCTGGCCCGAGGCCCGGCCAGGCCCAGGCCCGAACCGGCCCCGAACCGGCCCGAGTCCACCCATACATAGAACTATATGGTTCATAATAAACATACATGTAAGACAAATTAAACTAAATTTGGTCACCCATTTGAAAATTTTGAATAATGGTCAATTTTTTGAGATCAAAATTAAATATGGTGGTGTGGGCGTATATGCAATGAAAAGTGTACCGTTCTGTGTATAAGTTTATCGATCTAATTTAATTAGCGTATCCAAAAACTACTTGAATAGAAACAAGCATAACTGAAAAAGAGTGCAATAAAAACTTGTTATACCTCAATGCTAATTTTATCACGCTAGCTAGCTAACTAGCTACTTAGCTAGCTATATGTCCAATTCAATATATCACACACACTGAAATACTGAAATACATATGTAAAAATTATGTTCCTAGTACTATACTACGTAATATATTTTGGTTCATCTTTCTTTCTTTTTTATTTTTCTTTTTGTCATCTTTTGACTTTTATATTTTTGTCATCTTTCTTTTTTAATTTTGTCAGTTTCCTTTTTAATAAAAGAATTTGTTGTTTTTATTATTTTTCTCTCATTTGCACAACTTTCGATTACACCATTTTTTACATTATTATTTCTCAGTGTCAAAGTTGGCAAAATTCGAAGAAAAATGTTATGTGCCATGTTATGTATGGAATTATTGTTGTGACACGTCATAATTCTATCTTTATACCTATGTATGTAATTAATCTAATTTGTGTTTATAGGTACATACGTAGTATTACATGAATTATATAATATCTCCATTCTCAATTGGCTTCAACACTTTAAAATCATGCTAATCAACACATGAATTTAACTTTTGATACATACGAAGTACTTCGTATTAAATAGGATATTCGTTAGGATTTGCAGGGGTATTTGTCCCGGTCAACACGAGATTGGTATAAAACGGTAAACACTACTCCGTATTAGGTTAGTTTTTAAGGACAAAATTAAGGCCTGAACATGATATCATCAGAGCGGACAGAGCCCGATACCGTTAGTTGAGGTTTGATTATATTGTTGTTTATCACTCATAATTAAGGACGATTCGTTAAGAGTTTGTTTGATCCATTTATATAGCCCAATATTGTCCAACCTGATTTGTAATGAGCGGACATGTTGAAATATTTGTCACGCAACGGATTGATATAAAATAATACTCTGTACTATACATTATATAAGATTTGAAGCTCCTCCTCCTATCAGGTTAATGTTTTGGAATTGAATTCAAGTCTTAAAAGGGTTATAATAAATCTAATTTTGAAAATTTAAATTGACACAAACATAATACTTTCATAATACAATTTTTTTTTAATGCTTGCTCTCATTTCTAACCTCTTCATGTGAACATGGCCGCCCATCATGACTGGAGCATATATGCCTTTATTGGCGATTAAGGTCTTCCCTTTTCTTCCATTTGTCAAGGTTATAGGCATGTTCAAGTTCCTCCATGCGTACGTTCTGATTCCGAAGAGCCAAAGAGCAGCCGATTGATTTCCTTTAAATCTCACACCGCCAAAGTTGGTGCTCCATTATACCACTACCACCATACACACTCTCTAGGCAAAGTGCCACATTTCTGCTCACTAGGAATTGTAATTTTTATTTGTGTGGAATAGGTTTATGTTTTTTTAACAATTCTTTCTAACTTATTATAGTATATATTCTATGTGGAATAGGTTTATGTTAGTAAATGACTTTAACATTATAACCCAAGAATAATATTAAATTTATTATTCTACTCAATTCAGACTATTTACTCAACACACAAAATAAACGATCTCATATACAAATATCACTTAATCCAAATACACATTTTAACCACACATCTTAAACTACACAAAACTTAATAGAGAAAAAGCAAACAACGCCTTACTAAGGGAGTGTTTGCAATTGCTTCAACTTTAAAAAAGTGATTTTTTAAAGTGATTTTGGAAAAAGTGATTAATAGTCAAAGTTGGTAGTGTTTGAGAAAAAAGTGATTCTGGAAAAGTAAAAGTTGATAGTGTTTGGTAAAATAAGTATTTTTTGTGTAATAGAAAAAGTGAGAAGCAGTTTAAGAGCCCGTTTGGAGAACTCTGTTTTCGGCTTATCAGGCTTATCAGCCAGCTTTTTCACCAAACACGTAACTTTTACTTTCGCGCGCTGAATTGTGTAATAAGCCGAAAAAGTAAGGTTGGAGTTACTTTTCTGGCTCTATTGGCTGAAGTTACTGTAGAAGACCATTTTAGCTATTTTTACATATAATTTTTTCTTTAATTTATTAATAAAATATATTTTTAAAATATTTTTTCCTTAAATCAGCAGAATCAGCCAAAACAGCCACTCCAGCCAGAATATCATAAATTTCAGCAAAATCAGCCAAAACAGCCGATTTTGGTGCTACCAAACGGGCTCTAAAGCATCCTTCTACCTGCTTCCAGCTTTTAGCTTTTAAGTGATTAATTAATTTAAGCAGAAACTATCATTTGAAAACACTCTTTTCAACTTTTTTTAAGCCAAAAGCTGAAAAGCGCTTTTTTAAGCAAACCCAAACACTCCTTAATGTTAGTCTTAGTTGATTCTTTATTACAAATCTTACATCATAAAAATATAAAATTGTCTTGTTGATTTTTTTTTGGAAAAGTAAAATATATACTCCTACCATTTACCTATTGTTTACCTCTAAATTGATACCGCGACTAATCATGTTATTGAAAACTGAGCTATGATGATGGTCTGATGCAAATTATTCATACACGCATCGCAAAATGAACTTATAGATCAACCAATCAATCAACCTTCTGCATGTTCAGTTATTGTCCGACATGTTCTGCTCAAGCGTATTTACAAGCTATAAGCTGTTTGAATTCAATTTTGATATATAATGTTGCTCCTGTAAACTTTAGCTAATCTACATATGCTGCTCGCTATTAATTAGTTTGCGGATGAAAAGGCTTGACCCGAGTGAGCAGAGAGGGCAAGTCTCTGATTCGATGCCCACTTCCCCAGAAAGAGGCGAGGCAGAGGCCCATAATAGCCATTGTTACCCCGGAGCAGGCAGAGGGCACTGCTTGAGTGCTCTCTAGGAACTGAGTTGCGAGAAGGCCTGCCAATGTTGAGCTTTGCATCCCTGTGCATAATGCAATTGTCCGGCAAGTTCCTTCATCAAACCTACAATAATCATCAAGGTTATATATATATATATATATATATATATATATATATATATATATGGAAATCTTTCCGGTAAGGTATACCTTACCGGAGCCGCCGTGCGGCCTCCATGTTTTGAGGGCCTTCCCGGTGGAATTTTTCGATGAAATTTTTTGAGCATGTTCGTCATCAAGTCTAGTACATCCATACCAAATTTCAGCAAAAAATTCAATCGGGAAGGCAGCCAAACGATTTTTGGAAGATAACTGCGTTTTATATGTATATAAAGGGTGCAGTTATCTTCCAAAAATCATTTGACCGCCTTCCCGATTGATTTTTTTGCTGAAATTTGGTATGGATGTACTAGACTTGATGAAGAACATGCTCAAAAAATTTCATCGAAAAATTCCACCGGGAAGGCCCTCAAAACGTGGAGGCCGCACGGAGGCTCCGGTAAGGTATACCTTACCGGAAGAGTTCCCATATATATATATATATATATATATATATATATATATATATATTTTGGAAACAAGGTAATATATTTATATATAGTGCTGCAAAATTGACACAAACAGCACTCTAGGGCAGCATAAGTTGTTCTCATTGCCCCCCTCCCCTGCTCATTGTGGTTTGTGGGACATCACCCACTTAAGGAATTTGGGCAGCCCATTTGAGAGTCGGTTTAGGCCAATTTCTGCAGTACTGGGTGGACTGAAAAAATGTAATGAGTTCAATACATCCATTTCTCCCTCGTAAAAAAACACATCTGTCCTGTACTAGATTTGAGTCTAATATGTATTTGGGTCTAATATACAAGCCTGGGACTCAAATTAAGGATACTTTTTAGCAGACCCAATTTAACCCCGATTATCCCTGAAACCCTGATAATGCTAGGCCCTATAAGTTACCTCTGTCTAATATACTAGATTTACCTCTGTCTCTTAGAGGGCGCCCATAAGTTTTTTATAACAGTAGTCAAGCAAATGACCAAATAACCGCACTCCGCACTACAGTACAACGATTAGAGAGCTGAGCCCAGGTACCACATATTCGAGCTTGACTTAAACCTATTTTGAGCCTCAATTGAGAGCGGTTAATTAAGGTTTTGAGATCAAGCTCAAACCTTATCTAGCCGAGCTTATGAGCCACAAGTAGGTGTCTAATATCAGTGGAAGGGAACCAACAATTATGCCCCAATTATGAGTCAAGTCGAGTTTTCAAGCCAAGCTGAATCGACTCTTCTATGAATGAAGAATAAAACTGAGCTCGACTCATTTTTTCTATTGAATGAGTCAAGCTCAAGCATTGGCAAGCCGAGTTAGCTCTAGCACAAGCCGAGCTTGTTTTTAAAACATTACAGAGCTAATTTTCCCCACCCAGACAGCTAAGCCTTTGCTAGTTCCACCTAGATCCTACTTAACCCAGATTGATCTCCATATGCACTCTGCCTAGCAATAGCTTTTTATCGTATTGCTCATACATATTGTTGCAAGAAAATATATTCAATATTTCAATTACCTAAAACTTGGAAATTTTGAAATCCAATATCCCAAGGTAAATGCTGCTGTGTGAAATGCCAAGACAGGGCCAACCAATTTTAGACCTTGGGCAGAAAGAATATGAGCACGGTTTATTGCAAGAGGGCTGCCAATACACATTGAGGTGCATGCCATTGCAATGAATGGCATTATAGGTTGAATAACCGACACAACTGGTTTTGCATAGGTGTTCAAAACTAGGCCCAGCGTCACAGGTACAAGAACAACCTGCAAATTAAGAAAGGGACCAAAACATAAAAAAAACTAATTTAGAGCCTGATTGGAAATTTGGAATACCTTTACCAATATTTTAACAAAAAATATTTATTTTGCTGTGCTGTCTTACTCAGCTGATGATTACAGAAAGTAATACTGGAGTGGCATTTTTTTACTAAAATGCCTGGAAAAGTGACTTTTCTACCTTCTGTTTCAGGAATTAGTTTCTTATATTTGCTTGACTTACATAATTTAATTTTAAATATTTAATATTTTTAAGACAATTCAGCAAAGAGAGCCAATTCAGAGCCAGAGTTCATCAAGTTCACAAGCTTTAGCCAGCTTGAGCCTTAGCAAATGGGCTGCTATTCACTCCCTTTTCATAATACCTGCAATATTGACTTCGACATGGCAATTGCATCAATGGGAACAACAGAGCCAATGAGAAGGCCCGTCAAAACTGGAGTGATGAGAACTGATGCAATGGTGGTTGAGCTGGTCAAGAGTATACTGAGCGCCACATCACTTTTGCTCAAGAAGCTTGCATAGCTCGATAACTGAGCTCCAGCAACACACGACGTGAGAACAAATCCAGGATAGAACATTGTAGGAATTTGTAAAGCCCGTGCCATCAGCACACCAAGCAACGGCTTTGAAATATACTGAGCAGTAAATCCAATAGATAATGGAATAGGTCTGCAGCCAACAAAGTTATAAAAAAATCAATCCTAATGTACGTCTAGGCTATGTTTGGAACTGGAAAATGCTAGGGAAAAGAAAGATAATTCTAACAATGTTATTATCTTCTGTTTCGGTTTATCTCAGAAAATGAAAAGTATAACAAAAATGATTTTTAACATATGTCTATATGTCTTAGTCTTTATACAATTGAAAGAAATAAATTAAATGAGTTTGAACACAGCGAAAATAAATTCATTGAGTTTAAACACACCAAAAAGTAAACATATAATTGAAAGAACATATTTTTGACATATATAAACATATACTGTATATATTTTTGACATATGTCTAGATTTTAATTCATTATAAACATATATTTTTGACACATGTTTAGATTTCTTAGTCTTTATATAATTGAAAGAAATAGATTAAATGAGTTTGAACACAGCAAAAAGTAATTTATTGAGTTTGAACCAATGTTCTCTTTTCCCCATATTTTCTTTCTTTCCAGCTTTTCCTTCTTTTTTTCTCATTTTCTTTCCCTAGCACTTTCCCAGTTCTAAAAGGACCCTAAACATTACAAGAAGAAGAAATTAAGAAATCCATAAGATTGAGGAATTTCCACCTTTTAACAGCAAGAGCAAAATCATCAATGGAAAGTCTGATTCCTATAGATAACATGATTCCACCAAGTGCAGGGGCATACAATTCCTTTGACACCCTGCAAGTTCTTACCATATACAAAAGTCAACAATTAAAAGAACTTAACCAAGCATCAATTCATCATATCCAGTGAGTGAATGAGTGAATAAAGTATAAACGTATCCATAGTCTAACCAAAAAATAGTTCTACCATAGACTGCAACCAATGTCCGTGTAAACTTAAGTATCAAATTGAAAAGTAACAATAAGATCACAGTTTCAACAAATATCAGTCCTTTCAGATTCAGGGTAAACAAATATATATACCAGGAAAAAGTGGAAGGCTGAGAAAGGGCGGCGACTGCAGTGAGCGCTACAACAAAGGGGAGCAATGCAGAGATAGCATTGGAAGTGGCTTCCTTTTTTTCGACTTCTACGGCCACAGTTCTGTCGTAATTTCCGAACCACAGTAAAGATAAATTGCCTTCTCTTCTGTGCAATCCAACTTTTCCAAACAGGGGAGAAGAAGTAGAGCATGCAACGGCCACTAAGGAGGCGCCGCCGCCTCTAGGTTTTCTGGAGAGCTCTAGAACATGCGACCGGAAAATATTTGCATTCAGTGTATTGGGGAGAAGTAAAGGCATGGGGCTCTTCCAGTAGGGTTTGAGAGATATTGAGAGGGACTTCGATGGAATCACAGACATTTTGCGGGACTAAAACTGGATTGAGGTGAGTTTGCATTCGCTGAATCGACGGAGAAGGATGAGATTTCCCGGCGGGTAAATATTATAGGGATGAGAGGAGAAGCGGTTAAGTTTTAAGAAGGTGACGGACTGACGGGCGAGAAAGCATCACCACTCTTTTTCTCGTGTTTTTGTTTTATTTGTCCAGGAATATCTCATATCGATCATATATATTCCGATGATATTATCATTTTAACCTAATAAACCGAACCGGCCGGCCTCTTTCTCAATGATTCTGCCACTATTGCCAAATACATTGTGGTCTGACGGCATGTGTCACTCCCAAAGAAGAGGTCACATGTTCGAATCTCATCCCAGTTCAAGGATGTTGGCATTAACATTGAGGATGTATTATACTCTGGTTAGAAAGAATTGTTCAAAAAAAAAGATTATACCATTATTAGCCTATTTCGTGTGTCATACGTAACTAAAATTAGTAAATAAGCAATGGAATCCAAACAACTTCCGAAGAGCTACGCTAGCCGCTAGGTGTACACATTTTTCCATTTTGATATACATTTTTCGTACACTCGTCTATCGCATGCACATAAAATTATATGTCCACAATCAGCTCTACAAAATTGTCTGTGGACAGACAACTCTGTGTGCGTGAGACACACGAATGTACGAAAAGTGTACACAAAAAAAATGTACACCAAGCATTTTTCACTTCTAAATGAGTTCTAATTGGTAATTAAATGGCATTACTTTGATATTCCTAGAACGAAATTCATCTCAAATTCTCAACGAATGGTTTTTAACCAAATAATTGTAATATGCGAGAAATACAACAAAAAAGTAATGAAACAATATTGGCATTAGGCGGGCACTCACCGCGAGATAGCCATCCCTCCCGAAAGGGGCCACACGAATGTAATGAAGGAATAAGGTCACAGTCGTGATAACATCCACCCATTGGCACCTAATGATAAAACATGAAAGGATCTTATAGACGCCGGGGACAAATTGAGCAGACACTATGGGAATCCGACGAAAGATCTCTATAACGAACGGATGATGAGGAAACCTCAAGCCTGCAAAGAACAAATCAAGGTGAACAAGCCCATGCTCCGCCTGATGCTGCGTGAGGTGACAGATGAAGGACATAATCCAAACCCGAGGGGGTTCGCAAATCATAGCAAATGCGCAAGACGACAACTTCTGTCGTTAATGCTAAATGGCAGAAAAGTTAAGTGTGAATAGGGGAGGCTTGGTCGGCATCCCTCGCTTGTAATACTCATAAATCGCCTTCCGAGAGGCACTCATCCTCCCGCAGATCCTCTGAGCGGCTTACGGTCGGGCCAGACTCAGGGTTAGACCCCATGTTGTACGGGCTCGCATTGTTCCGAGACCTGTGGGAGACTTCCATGGAATCTATGTCTATAGAGATGGACGAGCCTGAGCAGTTGGACATGGCACGAGTTCAACAAGGAAAATTAACTTACGAGTTTCATCGCAAAGATCACCGGAGGAAGAGTTTCGATCTAGTGAGAGAGAAAAATGACATAATCATGCTAGCTTGAGTGGATATGTGATGAAGGGATACCCGGAAATTGGGAGTATTTATAGGCGAGGCTGTTAGAACCGTCCAATCAGGAGCCCCCACATGGCAGGTGACTACAACGGCTGGATTTGGTGAAATGAAAGGACGTTTGTAAAGTGTTAGGTCCCCTAGATTTTGATGATTAATGTAATAGTTTTGATGATGTCACCCCTTTTATTATCCCTGTATTAGACTAGTCTACTACTTATGTTCTACTTTGTTTATTTGTAATGTGCTCCATATTTAGTGGTAAAGTACTCATAAAAAGCAAAGAGTACTAAAAGAAAAGTAAACGTACCATAAAACAAAAACAAAACGATAAAAAAGAAAAGGTATGAAAAGAGTTAACTAGTATACATTGTTAGGAATGAGCTAGCTGGAAAAAACCTGAAATCAGCAGCCTACTGATTTCCTTAACAGCCGGCTGAAAACTGGGTTTTCAGCTAACACATCCGAAATCCAATTGTCCCTTCTCTTTGACACAAAACACTTAGACAATAGACCAACTTGCAGTCAAATATCAAACTTGATAAAAAGTGAATTTACAAGAAATTTTTAACACATTATAAATTTCTTATAAATTTAATTTACAAAAGCAAGTGTTCGTTATTTGTACGGAAGCATTGAAATATCACTCAGCTTTTATACTGAATTTCTACGCATAAAAGAAAGAAGATAAGTCATCTTTAATCTTGCATTAAAATGAGGAAAACAAGTTGAGATGAAGATAGGTGATCCGTGTCAATACGTGACAAAAACAAACCATGTTGCCTCAGTTAAGTGGAACAAAACAAGTAGGTCAAGCTACAGTCAAGATTCATTTCCTCAGCCAACGGTGGAGATGCAACGATCAAGTCTATAAATACAGAAGGATTGCGGGATTACCAAGTGTGGTAAAACGATAGGAGCCAAGTGGATAGAAGAAAATCATACTCTACACGAACAAATCCAGCCAGCTGATTTCCCGTCTACACTTTAGCTGCCATCCCACTCGTCTAATGCTCTTAGACTAGCTATAATTCATACACATCTATAGAGCTTAGATTAGTTGGCAGTTTAGCAATACACCCATGTATTCTAGACTAGTGTTAGACATTCTGGAGGGCTTTGTGTTCAAATCCAGAAGGTGAGAAAGGGCAAGGACATGAGTAGATCTTGGCAAGTCATTGTCATTAGTGAAAAAACTTGGGGGGACTTAGTAGCTTGGAATGATATGTTTTAGTTCCTTGTGAAAAACCTCACAATCTACGCCTGGGCCAAAGGTAGATTGGGGCACTAAATGTAATGGGATATTCATTTAGTGGAAATCCATCTGAAATAAGTTGGGACTAGATGTAGGAGGATTACACCACCTCTGAACCAGGATATATCTTGTGTCACCTTTTACATTCTACTCCTAACACATATTCAGTACTCACCCACCTTCACAACTTCACAGCAAAGCCGCTTGCTCACTAAAACTGTCCAGTGAACTTTCCGAGTTCACTGTGAGTCATCTCCTTGTTAACTGTTCTTTAAAATGACCTATTTCCATTGGTGTAAATCCTTCATGCACACGTGTTAGACTAGCTCTAAAGTCAGTTAACTTGTTAGAGTATAGTTCATTGCTATACTTTAACTAAAATAAACAGAAATGTTGTTTCAGCAGCCTGCTTGCTCCTAAAGATTGGCAGTCAGCTCCCAAGCTGACTGACAGCCATCTCCTTCAGAGTTTTAGCAGCATGCTCCTAGAGTCATCTGTTTCTGGCAAACACGTTTGTACCATGTTTAACCCATCTCTCTCACAACTAAAAGGGTCATAACCTTTGTTTCTATAAAGTGTGTTGGTCCCAGATTGATGTAGACAAACACACAGCTAGATGGTATTCATTGATAAACAGAGAAATAGAAGATCTGATAATGATAAAACAATATCGAGAACAGAGAATTGAAATTCTTCTTCTATTATATCGAGAACTGTTTTAACAGCGTAAGGCTAGAGAATGTATATTTTTGACTCTTTGGCTCTGTACAAAACGCCCATATTTATAGGTGTGTACAGGTTACCAAATTAGGTTTACATGGGAGTTTGGGCCTAAGCCTTTTTGGGCCTTATTCCCTCACTACCCATTATTACGTAATAATACTAATACCATAAATGGTACATCTATTCTAATTTATTGAACAAGACATTACATACAAACTTGATTCACAATAAAATAGTTCTAACAATCTTCCCCTTTGTGATCAAGTGCCGTCTTGCTGGGTATCTTTACTTCTGAGCTCTGTAATAGTGTTTGCGAAGGTTCAGTGCATGCTCGTAGTTCCTGAGAGACTTTCTTATGTCAAGTTGCTTCTCAATTGCTTTCAGAATGTTATCAGCTCTTTGAAGTTCCTTGAGTTCATCTTTGGAAGCTTCTTTTGATTTCTTGTCGAGTTCGTCTTTCTTTGGTTTAAGCTATTCACGGATTATCTTCAGGGTCCCATCACAGTATTTGTGAATTGCATCAACCACCATCAGGCGCTTCTCATCGTTATGGTTTAGATAAATGATTGAGACTGGATTGTCAAAGATATGGTATGCTTCGAAAGGCTCAAGTCCAGGTCTTTTCAAGTCCGGTTGTGTGAGATTCGCCTTTGAATAGTTGTGTTCGAGAGCCATCTGGAGATCATGTGAGGCATAGAATCGTACCTGTCTTGTCATGAACCTTTTGATAGCCTCGAAGCCCTCTTTAGTAAGTCTGTCTCTATGAACTGGGAGTTCCCTACATCTCATGAACAATTGATAAACATCATCCATATGAAGTAGAAAGAAGTCATTCTCTTGGCAGGTAAACTCTGATCCATCAGTTCGTTGAAGATGGAAAATCGAGAACTTGATTGTTTCCAGGTAATCTTCTGTTACATTCAGGATCTTCCAAACAGGACATCCGCTAGTTGCAAGATTTTGATTCAGGATTTGTCGTTGTTCCCCTGTGGATCTGTGTCCTAGCATGTACATATTTCCACCTCTGTATTTTCCTTTGAGATGATTGATTCCACGCATCTTTAGTTCACTGAATTTTTTGATCTTTTCTGGTTGGCGCCAAATTCGCTCTCAGATATCTTTTAGGAAGGGGGCTTTGATTCTGACAATTTCCAAGGCCTATTTAGCTGGATTTTGTTTGATGGCTGATTCTGGTTCCTTAAGGTTTTCTTTGTGATTCTCCCCTTCCTTGAGTTCATCTTCATCGAGTCCAATCATTGGTGCATGATACTTAGCGAGGAACTCTCTGAGATGCCACCTTCGACACATTTCATACTGCTCGGCTTCCACTCTAAGATCATCCCACTCTGTCCATTTGCGATGCCACTGATCATGAACTAGAAAATCTTCAAGTTCATCTTGTATCCGATCATTGCAGGTGCTAGAGTGGGCTTGCTGTTGCTGTGACGGTGATAACCTGTCATGAGTAACACCGGGATCGCAAGGATTGCCCGTTGTCATCAGTTTCGAACTAGGTTCTAGCTGATGGCCTGATACAAATGATGTACTCGAGGTAACAACATCAGGACTTCCATTCCGTCCTTGGTTGACATCTATAGGAGATGTGCCTCAGAATGTTTTGTCTAGCTCGACCATGCTAGAGGATGTG